TTTTCTTAATTACAAATACCATTAGGCTTTCTAAGAATTCCACACTGGTTCATTTGGGCCTTTCCCAATTCACACTCCATCTGTTCTCTTTGGAAGTGATAATGAATGACCAGGAAGGTCAGTCTAAGAGCTCTGTGGGCATCTCTCTCTTCTTTTCTTACAACCACTTCAGTAGCAGCTGGACTGCAGAGGCTCTGCGTGTTCTCAGGCTTTGAGACGAAGGCTGTCTGCAACACAGTTTTTTATTCCTCTACACTGAAAGCACATTGATGAAGGGATTAAATGCCCTACAGTAGTGACTTATAACACTGTCCCAGCTATTCAGCTGATCCCTAGCTGAGATGCTCAAAACAGACTAGTGCTCAAACTTTAATTTGCTTTGAAGACAGTACAACTTGCTCAGATGCTGTAATATCAAAAACAGTTTTTTTTCATGGTGCCAGGGATAGAACTCAGGGCCTCCTGCATGCTAGGCAAATGCTCTACCACTGTACCTCCAAACAATTTAACGGAGGTTCAGGTTTGTTCAGGTTCTGAAAAGTTGTGCTCTTTTTGCTTTAGATCTTGCCAACATCCTGATGCCTGTTGACGGTAGTCAAGTTATCAGCAGGGAGAAGCTATGTCACTAGAGTGAACTTTGCTACTGAAGATGGGACAGGCTGTAAATATCAGGAATGAGTCACCTGCAGATACACCTGAGAGGACCCTTCTTAAATGGTCTATAACAGCACATTTCAAGCAAGTTAAACCAGTACAGATTTCAACTTCTGAACATACCTGGAGGGAGATGATAACCAGATTTGCTTGTTTGGGGTCTGCTTGTTGATCACATAGGTTCCTAGATCTCCACCCAGTTTAACTGTTAGGACACCACTCTAGGGGAGATGGAAGAAAGAATGAATAAAACAAGACAAAATTAGCACTTTGCAATAATTTCTTTATATGTTATAATATTTCAATGCTTTCCACGTACGCAAGTACACCACACACAGCATAAAGAAATCCTTCATGAGGCTGGGGATAGAGCCCAGTGGTACAGCGCCTCCTTTGCATGCACAAGGTCTTGGGTTCAATCCTCAGCAACATGCATAAGTCTTTTTTTTTTTTTTTTTTTTTGTACCAGGAATTGAACCCAGGAGGGCTTAAGCACTGAGCCACATCCCCAGCCCTTTTTTATATTTTATTTTAAGACAGGGTCTTGCTAAGTTGCTGAGGCTGGCTTTGAACTCGGGATCCTCCTGCTTCAGCCTCCCGTGCCGCTGGGATTATAGGTGTGTGCCACCATGCTTGGCTCACAAAAGCCTTTAGTATTAGGAATAGATTGCACAGAAAGAACACTGCTCTCAGGATCAGAACAGGATTAATTATAATGTTTATACCTCACAGTGCTTTTCCCCAGGAGGTCAGCAAGGCAGGGATGGCTGACTTTCTGTTCTAACATGTGGGATTGCTGGCTTGTTGCCTCCCTCACTCCCTCCCACCAATCAGAACATACTATAGGATGTTAAGAATGCAGACACCAACTCTACTAGAATATTGTTCTAGCCTGAGTATCAGACATGACAAGTCCATTATGAAAAAAAGAAAGTGAAGGAAGGAAGGAAGCAGTCAACGCCCCCACCTTGCTGGTCACAGATGAACAGTGGTATTAGCTATGCTGATAGAAGGAGCAACTTCAGCCGAGGCCTGTTATGTCCAGATCCTTCCCACACATCTAACAAGTATCTCAGACCGTCCACTCCACTCCATTCCACTGGGACTCTATTTTCCTCTAAAGAGCCTTCCATTCTCAAAAGACTGGTTGGGCCATCTTTGCCCAATAAATGCTCATTTAAATTTGAAAACACTCTTTCAACAAAGGAGCTCTTTACTCCCAAGGCTTTTGAACTCTACAGAGTGGCAAAATATGAAAGAAAGGGAGACAGGGCTAAGTTCCCACTGTGGGAACTGGTAAGTGGGGTTGGGGGGGTTGGAGAGCCTGCTGTTCCCCACCGTGTTCATGACTCCCCCCAACGCAAGGCCAGGCAGCCTTTCTCTATGCATGCAAGAGCCCTGGGAACCAAACAGGGATCCCTGAATGATTCTCACAAGGCACTTCCACAAATAGAAGGAGCCACTGAAATGTAGGAAGGCGATGATAATAGTAATAGAACTGAACAGTACGAGGGTGACGCCATGAGGCTGTTTGTGTGTACCTGTGGTGTCTGCGTGTTGGGCAAGTGCTCTGCCACTGAATCCTGCCCTTCCACATTAACTGTTCTTAAGCGTACAGTTCAGTAGTGTTAGGTACCCCCACAGTATTGTGAGCTACGCCCTAGACCATAGTATTTTTGTTTTTTTTGTGATGCTGGATCAAACCCAGGGTCTAGTAATATGCTAGGCAAGTACTCTATCACTGAGCTGCTTCCCCAGTGGCACCTTCTCTATGTTGTTTTTATCATTTTAAAAAAATATATTTTTAGTTATATACGGACACATAACTTTATTTTTGTTTATTTATTTTTAAATTAGTGCCGAGGATCGCCAGTGCCTCACATGTGTGAGGCAAGTGCTCTGCACTAAATCACAACCCCAGCCCTGTTTTTATAATTTGTTTTTAATTAAAAAAGAATCATATAGCTGGACATGGTGGCACATGCCTGTAATCCCAGTGATTTGGGAGATTGAGGTAGGAGGATCACAAGTTCAAGGTGAGCCTCTCAGCATCTTAGAAAAACCATGTCTCAAAAAATAAATAAGTGTTGGGGATGTAGCTTAATGGTACAGTGCTCCTGTTCAATCCACAGTAATAAAGAAAGAAAGAAAGAAAGAAAGGAAGGAAGGAAGGAGAAAGGAAGGAAGGAAGAAAGAGAAATAAAAATAATAGCAATACTGGGAATGCAAATTTTATGGAAAATGAGAACATAAATAGAAATATTACCTACTATTTACTCTCCCTACTCTCTGCCAGTCTCTGTTTGGCACTACGGGAAATTGCTTACAACTAGAACATAAGCACTGGAGGTGGGAATCATTATTCCAGTTCTATAGATGAGGAAACCAGGGGTTTACAGAGGTAAAGAACACCAGTAACTGCCAGAGCTGGCCTTACATCCAGGGTGGCTGGGTCCAAAAACACTAGTCTTCCCACAACTTCCCATTAACCTGTGACACAATCTTCATTCTCAGGTAGCTGCCACCAGTTTTTGTTTTTTAATTTAATTATTATCATCAAATTTACCAATATAACACTCTTTTTTTGTGTGTGTGTGGTGCTGGCGATTGAAACCAGGGCCTTCACATGCCAGGCAAGAACTGTTCAACTGAGCTACCTCTCTGGCTCTTTTTATTTTGAGACTATGTCTTGCCCAGCCTTGAGCTTGCAATCCTCTTGCCTCAGTCTACCAAGCAGCTGGGATTACCGCATGTGTTGCCACATTTAGTTCTATTTTGGCATTCTAAACAGTCTGTGGTCACATTTTACCCAGTCAAGTGTGGCAGACTCAGTAGTCACCTAGTGACAAGAGGTACTTTCAACTCTGGTGGGGTGTCCCTTTAATGACCAACAAGGGGCGAGGCCTGGACCCAGACACTGACATTACCCATTATCTGATCAGATGACATGCCAGCCAAGAAGCTGCTCACCCCACAGAGAGGAAACTGAAGAAGAGATGTTTTTGAGGAATCTGAATCATTGCTTTGTCTACTTGGCCAGCAGTAAGTTGGCAAAAGACCTGTAAATGCTGAGTGGCATAATGAAAGTATGTTTTGGAAAAGTATGTGGGCCATATTTTATTTAAAAAGTGAACCAACATTTATTAAACCCCTATTGTGTATTCAGTACTGTTCTAGGCATTGGGATCAAAGAATGGACAGAGTCCTGCTTGCCAAGGTGCTCAGACTAGTCTTAAGAGCATAGTTACGCTGGATATGGTGGTACATGCTTAAAATGCCAACAACTCCAGAGGCTGAGGCAGGGGATCACAAGTTGAAAGCCAGCCTTGGCAACTTTGTGAAGTCCTAACCAACTTGGAGAGACCCTAACTCAAAATAAAAGATAAAAAAGGACTGGGGGTATGGCTCAGTGGTTAACCACTACTGTGTTCAATCCCTGGTATCAAAAAAAAAAAAAAACACAAAAAAAAAAAAAAAAAAAAAACCTCAGGAAGTGAGGGTGCTATGTGCAGGGAGTATCTCTGCAGGAAAAGGTGTCAAGCCTGAGAGTAGTAAAAGTAGAAAGGAGGCTTTCCAAAGAAGATAACTTGCAGATGGACCCCAAGGGTAGAAAAAGGCTCCATTCCAAAAAGCTCAGGTAATAGTGTTATGGGTGTTTTATGGTCTACAGTGTAGTTTCAGTTAATTTACTTAATACAGGAAATACATAAGATTGCATCTGAAGGACTGTGATCAGGAATTCATATCACAGGGTGGGGAGGGAGCATTTCAACATATTTATAAGTTCAGACTACAGAGGCAGCCACTAAATACCTTTACCTTTCTAAATATACAGTTGAGGGTTTTCTAATGAGTAATTTGTTAGAAATAATTTTTCCCTGGCCTGGGGTTGTGGCTCAGTGGTAGAGCACTTGCCAAGTACACATGAGGCACTGGGTTCAATCCTCAGAACCACATAAAGAATAAATAAATAAAATAAAGGTATTGTGTCCAATCTACAACTAAAAAAAAATTAAAAAAAAAATGGTTTCCTGGTGAGCAGGGTGATGCTCAAGGTTTAAGGATTGGCTAGAAAAATGTAAGGCACCACTCCCTTGCAGGAATGGGTGATAGAATCTGGTAGGTCCAGCAGCCAATACTCTTCAGAGAGACAGAGAGTAGAATTCTTAAAGGTTCTGTGACTCACCACTGAGTAGAAGTTTTGACACCTGATTCAAACTGATTCAATGAGGCAAACCTAGTCTAGCCACTACAATGCTGGCACATTTGCTGCTGATGCTGCTGCTTTTTTTTTTTTTCCTTTTTGGTGCCAGGGTTGGAATCAGGGCCTTGCATGTGCTTAGTGCTCTGCCATTGAGCTAAATCCCCAACCAATGACACATTTACTTCTTTTTTTTTTTTTTTTTTTTTTTTTTTTGATACAGGGGATGGAACCCAGAGGCTCTTAATCATGGAGCCATACCCTCAGCCCTCTATTTATTTTTCATTTTGAGACAGGGTCTCACTGACTTGCTTAGGGGCTCACTAAATTGCTGAGGCTGGCTTTGAACTTGCAATCCTCCTGCCTCAGTCTCCTGAGCCAGTGGGATTACAGACATGCACCAAGGCTTGCTGCCATATTTACTTCTTCTTCTTTTTTTTTGGAGTTGTAGATGGACACAATGCCTTTATTTTATATGTTTATTTATTTTTTTTTATGTGGTGCTGAGGATTGAACCCAGTGCCTCACACATGCTAGGCAAGTGCTCTGCCACTGAGCTATAGTCCTGGCCCCTGCCACATTTACTTCTAATGAAACATTCATGCAAAATACCTGGGTCAATCTGGGGCTTTGCTAATTCTGTGAGAACAGGTTGCATGACTGCTTTTGTGGCTTGTTAATCAATATTTGCACACATGAGCAGAGTGTAGTCTGAGAACTTGTTTCAGCCCCTGGTGGGGAGTCTGGGGAAAGGAAGCCTGAAATTTTTCCAATGCTAAAATTATTTCCTGGATGGTCAGGTGGTGAGCTAGGCTGTAAGCAATTCAGCCCTATGGGGGATCTCTTCATGAGCACTTTTTAATTTCTATTTATTTATTTATTTTTAGCAGTGCTGGGGATTAAGCCTGGGGCCTCACTCATGCTAGGCAAGCACTTAACCACTGAGCCACACCCCGAGCTTCATAAAGCACCTCCCTGCTGTTGCTGACAGCAATCTCTGAGCCCACCTAGAAGATATCCCTCCTTTACTGCTGGTTTACTTCATTTTACTACTCTCAGGCTTGACACCTTTTCCAAGGCTTTGCTGCCTGTTCTATCTTAGGGAGTCTCTTCTTTACCTAGTGGCCTTATAGCAACATGAACATCATTTCTACCACTTCAATTTGACAGTTGATTGTCCTACATAATCCTATGATTGAATCAAAAAATGTACACTTCGTGACATTTCCTGCTATTAATTAATTGCTGTCAAGAGGATTAACCGCTGCCTCTGAGGGAGGGGGGAGGGGGCAGGGAGAAGAGGAGGAGGGGAGATTTTTCTCCCAATGGCAAAAAAGAGATCTAAAGGCAAACAGTTCTAAACCTAAAAGCAGATTGTTGCCTAAGTCTGCCACCTGGTGGCCAATAAATAAACACCAGCACTTCCTTGACTCCTAGGATCTGGGGCTAAAGTTTCATCCAATTCAGTTCTCAAACCAACTGCAGAATAGAATTTACCTGGGAGGTGGGGATGTAGCATAGTGGTAGAGCTCTTGCCTAGCACACATAAAGCTCTGGGTTCCATTCCCAGCATTGTCAAAAATTATCCCTGCTTAAGGACTAGCTGTCTAGAGTGTACACCTGTAATCCCAGTGGCTGAGGCTAGGGATAACAAGTTTGAGGCTGGCCTCAGCAACTTAGCAAGACCATCTTCAAACAAACAAGCAAATAAATAAGGGCTGGGGGCATAACTCAGTGCTAGAGTACCCCTGGGTTCCATCCCCTGTAACAACAAAAACAAAAAAGAATTGGTTGTCTAGTTCAGTACTGTCCCTGCTAACCTGCTACACAAACACATGCCCAGGCCTCCTCCCTTATTTACTTTATGGGTATTAGGTGAAGGTTGGGGATCTATATTAATATTTTTTATGGCTCTAGAAATCTGTATATATATATATATTTTTTTTAACATTTATTTATTTTTTTCTTAGTTCTTGGCGGACACAACATCTTTGTTGGTATGTGGTGCTGATGAGGATCGAACCCGGGCCGCATGCATGCTAGGCGAGCGCGCTACCGCTTGAGCCACATCCCCAGCCCCAAATCTGTATATTTTTAACCAGAAATGAGGCTCAGAGAGGCAGGGTGACTGGCCCAGAGTCAGTGGTAGGGCTGGGTTGTGTCACTGAACCCTACAGGGCCTTTGGGTCCCTCCCATTACTCTATGCTGCTTGTGCTTTACTCTGCCGCAGAGGCATTCTTACTTCCATAAATTAAAATTCTTATGGAGAAACAGAAAAATTACAATAAGCCAAGCTATACCCCAAAGGAGACGTCATAGTCCTCCAGTGTACAGGGCTTGTCTGCAAGGTCTTCAAAAAACTCCGCCAAGGCGTCCAGTGTTTCCTCTGCTAGTCTTTCATAGGCGGTTTCGTCTAGAGAGCTGCAGTGGGAACAAATGAGTCATCAGAAAGATATGATTACCAGACTGCTCCATTTTTTAAAAAAAAAATTTTAATACTTATGTTTCAGTTTTCGGCAGACACAACATCTTCATTTTATTTTTTTATGTGGTGCTGAAGTTCGAACCCAATGCCCCGCGCATGCCAGGCAAGCACATTACCGCTTGAGCCACATCCCCAGCCCCAAGACTGCTCCACTTTTTAAAAATCCAATTTATATGTATTTATCTTTTAGTGATTTTTAAAAAATTGATGGGAAATAATTACCATGTGTGAAAATTTAAATAACATGAAAGGAGTTTTAGAGTGATGCCTTTCTTCAAATAGATAGTCCTTATCCCCAGAAATTTGAAAATTTAACCCAGGGACAATATGCCACTGAGCCACATCCTCAGCTCCTTTAATTTTTTTTACATGTATTTTTTTAGGTGAAGATGGACACAACACAATGCCTTTATTTTTAAGTGGTGCTGAGGATCGAACCCAGGTCCCGCCTGTGCTAGGCAAGCACTCCATCCTGAGCCACAATCCCAGCCCCTCCTTTAATTTTTTATTGCGAGAAAGGTCTCATTAAGTTGTGTAGGACCTTGCTAAGTTGTTGAGGCTGACCTCAAACATGTAATCCTCCTGTCTTAGCCTCCCTAGCTGTTGGGATTACAGGTATGCATCACCATTGGGATTATAGTTGCATGCCACAGTGCCTGGATAGATGTTCTTTTTTCTTTTTTATATTTAGATTGGATTTATTATTTTATTATTTATTTTTATGTGGTATGAGGATCAAATCCAGGGCCTCACAAATGCTAGGCAAGTGCTCTATCACAAAGCCACAACCCTAATCCCCTACATGTTTTTTTAATATACAATTGAAGCATGTCACATTTTTCACTTAGTATTTATAAATGATTCATATTTGCATATATGGATTTTTATTGTATTTTTCTATTACTTTAACCCATTTCCTTCAACTGGACATTGAGGTTGTTTAACTTTTTTTGTTATTAAATTTTATGTTGGGCAAACCACAAGGTTGGGAAAAATATCAACATTACATATATCTGAAAAAGAACAAAGTCAGAATTATAGCCTATACGTCAATAAGGAAACTCAAAAAAAAAAAAATACTGGGCAAAATACTTGAATAGATTTCATTAAAGAAAAGATGCCCAAATCATCAATGAGCATATGAAAAGGTGCTCAACTCTGTTAATCTTCAGGAAAAGGAAAATTAAAAA